CTTCCTCTCCCACTAGAGCCTCCATACTCTGCTATCCCTGCCACTGTCCACTGTGCTGTCAGCACCCCCATCCATTCCCCCCTATCTGCCCTTCTGGTAAATCTAGTCAGCCAGAGGTCCCTGTTCCAGGAGGATCAGCTGTTCCTTATCAATATTTTTAACATGATACAAATGACTGATGATGAATTTCTTTTTTTAACTAAAAAAATTATTGAGAATTTCATACACGCATATAAGGATTTTTGATCAAATCCATGCCCACTCCCTCCCCTCCAACTCCTCCCATATCTCCCCATCACTTCTTCCTGACAACTTCATGTACTCCTTTTTTTTTAAAATGGGGCTTTTTGCAACTCTAACATTCCCCGCTCTGAAGAGGTAACCTTAAAATCTATTAGGGATTAGATTAGAGCTCCAAAATACTTTTGACATTTTTCGCCATTGGACCAGACTATATTGCTAAGAGGCCCAAGGACATTTTGACTTTTAGCCAAGAAACTTGTTACTTTTCTTTGGAGTCTTTTTACCCTAACTGCCTAGCCAATTCCTACTTCCTACTCTTATCACACCATCCTCTGAAGAGGTTATCCAAATTGCCAATAGGGAATCAGGATGCAGACCGCTCTGGCTTCTTCTATGCTGAACAGAGACACAGGGTGTGGCAATTGGGGTAACCCTTCAGTGGGTCTATCTAAAAGACTCCCAAATTGCGTAACTCTCAACTGTAGGGAGAAAAGAAAGTCCTTAACTGGTGCCTAGATGATGTGAAGGAGAAGGAAAGGCAAGAGTAAATCGCATTACAAGTTCTAGACTCCAGGGAAGCAGAAAAAGGTCGGAACAGGGCAAATTTCAAATGTTCATATGAGAGTCCATTGGAATTTCTTGACGAGAGCTTCCAAAATCATCCCTCTATAAAAAAGGCAGAATATTACAAATAAAGTAACTATGAAAATTTAGACAAATTCTGTTAATTACTCTAAATTATCTTTCCCAATATCTCATCATCTTGTTTATTAGTGAGAATGATATGGGTTTAACATGATACAAATGGCTGATAATGAATTTCTGAATCACACAGTTTGGAGTGAACTTTGAATGGAAAATATATGTACTGAAATTTTAAAAGAGGATAAGAAATCAAAGCATGTTTTGAAGTCTCACCCAAAATAAATTTAATAGTCTTGGGATTTGAAGGAAAGGTTTGAAAACACTTATGTAGCTCAGCACACACACACACACACACACACGCACACACACACACGCACACACACACACGCACACACAGACACACAAATACAATAGTTCTTTCAGAGTTTACAAATTAAAGAAGCTTCTACCAAGGGTAAAATTTTATCTGGGAACAAACAGACATAGCCTTACTCAAAGAGATAAAAAAGATTCTGCTGTGTTATCAAAAGAGTTTATTTTGTATTTTTAGAAAGGGCACAAATATCTCTCATGGGAGAGACATTTCTAGAATAAGACAATACTTGAATCAGATGGAGGGGAAGGAGAGCCATCTGGCCGCAGTTTATCTTTTCTTCTAATGGAAGGCTTCCCCCTTAATGCTCAGGGAAATGTGTCTGTTGCTCCTGGCACATTATAGAAACAAACTCAAGAATTTACTCTGCCAATAGGACTCTTAGCAGATGTTACTTCATTTGTTAAGTTGATGGCTTGTTTGCTTACACCTCCTCATGCAGCTAATATTTTCACAGAGAATTTCGAGAGTTTGAAAACGGCTCCATCTGTGTAGAGTGTGATTCCCAGTGTGAGAAGATGGAAGATGGTCTTCTCACGTGCCATGGACCGGTAAGCCTGATGATGTTTTGGGGCATGCTGGCTTATCATGTGTAAGTGTTATATCATTGTCTTACAGTCTATCAATACATTCAGTCACTTTTACTGAGATCCTAATGGAGAATCTGTTAATATTCCATCTTTGAGAGGCTTACAGTTAGTACTAGAGATAAAATATCAGGAAAGTCAACGTCATAATCAGCTATTCTCCAGATACTACATTTGAACCAAAGTATGAGGACTTACAGTTATCTTGTAAGATGACAGATTATTGAAAAGAAAGATATAGAGTGAATATTAGTAAAATGTAAACCTGTACATATTGATTAAAAACAAATGAAGGAGAAGATATACAAGTGTGAAAGTGCATGTTGTTTTGGTGAAAATAATAGCTCACTGTCATTTATTTCTTACCTATCATAGTAATATATAGGGTACTAGATAAAGGAGGAAGTATCATGAACTAAAATTTAAAGCTATATAACAAATGCTGTGTCAGAGTTAAGAATTGGTTATCAGGATCCCAGGAGAAGCCGTGAGATTCATATCTTCATGGATGAGGTGTCATTTACAAAACTGAAAGTTATGGTAGGGAGAGAATGAAACTTTTCAGTCTTCTTTTGGGTTTCCACCTAGTGGACCTTTTCTTAATAATGAGATCAATCTGTGTTTGTCATTCCAAATGTCATCCTTCATTAGACAAATTTCTAGGTTATCTTGTATTAACTCATTTCTCAGTAGATAATTTGGGGTTCAACATTTGTGTGTAACCAAGAGCTTAAAAATTCAAATTTAAATACTGTTCATTTTTTATTAGAGAACTTATTCAGCACTTAACTACTTTAGTAAAAGGTATCCTTGTGTACTTCCAACTTCCATTTGGGCCTCAAATAGCCATTCTAGAACTTTCTCTAAAGAAGGATGTGGAAAAGGTCCTCTTTTTTTTTTTTTTTTTTTTTTTTTTTTTTACCACATGATGACTAATCTTGAAAAGCCAGACCTCAGAGAAAAAGAAATAATGATATTCAGCCTGCAGAATCAAAGTCTAAAAGATAATTTACTATGTAGTAATCTCCAAGTGAGTATGGGAAAGGGCACGTGCACCTGCTTTATTCCTCTACTGTGAAGATCAGTGATGGCATCATGTACCTGCCACATGCAAGATGGAATCCCATGAAAAATGCTCCATCCATTACAATGAGAGGAGATTTCCACAGTGGGTTGTTGGAGCAAGTTGAGATGTTGAGACATGTTCTTCACAAGTATCACATTTTGGTGACTGTTTAGTTGTGAGTTAGAATGAAAACAAGATCTCTTTCAGAGTTTAAAACTTTGAAAGAGAATAATTTAAAAAAATCAAGATTTGGCCATTTCCTTTGATTATAGATGATGTCCAGACCTAGTTGGTTTGAAATGGATATAAGATTATAGAATTACTTTTAACAATGAGCAACTGCCAAAGTTGCCCATTATTTATTTAATTTGTGATCTTCACAGGCCTGCCACATGACACTGACATTTCCTATGGATTTCTTGTTATTTTGTCCAGCCCAATTTTTTTGACATATATTTCTTTTTCTTTTTCTTTTCTATTACCGCAATTATTCTGAACAAGTATCAAAGAAACAGATTCTTACTTTTTTCAGTTAGTGTCATTGTTTAATACTTGCTAAGGAGTATATATGCAAACACACACACAGAGAGAGACACACACACATATATATAGAGAGAGAGACTCATTTGGAAATATTTTTCAAATCTTCTTTAAGAGAGAGACTCTAGATAGGCTGACTAGAGCAATGGATGAACTTGGGACATCTGGGTACACAAACTTGATAGGCCTTAACATATATGACAGAATGCATGAAATTTGCTGGGGGCTTATGGGAAAGTGAAGATGAGAAAGGGGTATAAAGATAATTAGGATTTTTTTCTATAAAATGCACAATAATTTAGTAAAAATATATAAAAATTTAAAAAATAACCACAGAGACATTGTTTGCCACATTAAATTTATTTTTCACATTAATATGTGCTCCATTTTTTCATTCTGGATATTAAAACTAAATTTGTTATAATAGCCCAAACTTTCTTGCAATTTGAATATTTTTAAAAAATCAAGTACTATTAATAATCTATATTTTCAGTTCAAATATTTCCTATTGATAAGAAGTTAATACACTAGATGTAATCTAAGTATATTCATTAATACACCATATTTTTTGCTAGAGTAATTCCATTAGGAACATCTGTATAAAATTTTACATTTCCTGGGAAAGAACTCACCATCTTCCCCCACAATATAACTATATTAGTTTTCAATTGTAAACATTTTCAATGATAACTTTACCTAATATTTGAAAACCAGAATTATTATAACTATAGATTACATTTATTTTCATAACAAAATTGAGCACTATTTGTGACCTAGATTTGATACTGAGTATTTTCCCATATATTTTCAGTCATTGTCTTCTAGGTTTTTTTTTCTCATTTTTCCTATGAAAAATTAAGCTTATAATTGTTAAATTAATTGTTCAGTATAGCAGGTGTACGCCTCCACACTTGGTGTTTAGGGCTTAGAGTGCTTGACTGTTTCCATGTTCTTTCTGTTCCTTACGCTGTGTCCTGCTGTAAAAATTATGGTAGTGGAAAACCAGTTTATTAGTTTCTCTTAATATATATGTTTTATAGTTTGCCTATTAATGTGTCCTGCAAATGAATTAAAAACATTTATAAAATTTAAAAGATTTCTTCAAAGATCTATTTAGGGCTAAGATGACATTCCAGGAGCATTCATGGGACTACAAGTTCAGTCCCAGCAATTAATGCTTTTGCAGTTTTCAAAATAAAAATATTTGATAACTAGAAGGAAGTAAAAATGGATTTATGATAAACACATTTGTTTCCAGATAGTTAATATCACCATATAGCAAGAAAATTATGAAATGTTATGTTTAGAAATCAAAAAAGGCAGTAAGTCAAAAGATCAGAAATTTGGGAAGAATGGAGGAGATATTCATTATACACCCTGCTTACTTTCACTCCCTGAATAGACAATGGAAGAGGATGGGAAGGAAACAGAAGTAAGAGAAATCAGACAAAGTTGCAAGAGACCAAAATATGGGCTGGAGAGAAAGCAGTAGAAGAGAAGGGACTAGGAAAGGGGCCAATTTTTAAAATGTTTTACAAAAGGTAAGGGAGCTATTAAAATAAGAATAATAAAGCTGGGCGTGGTGGTGCACACCTTTAATCCCACAGCACTCAGGAGGCTGAGGCAGGCGGATCTTGATGAGTTCAAGGCCAACCTGGTCTACATAGTGAGTTCCAGGACAGCTGGGGCTACAGGGAGACCCTATCTCAAAAAGACCAAAAGAAAAAAAAAAAGGATAATAATAGCTGTGTTGAAATAACAAACATTTCTAAAGTTGTATTAGCTCTCAGAAACAAATTTAGTTTTTTTAAACGCATGGTACTTGAAAGTCTTAAATGTTCCAGAAGAGCCACTTCCCATTATGACCTATAAGTAAAGATGCTTTGGTTTCATAGCATCCCCATTTCTACAGGAGGCCTCTGAACTGTGGCAACATGGAGGGTGAGGATGGGGAGGTCTGCCATCACTATGTTATAGTCTTTTATGTGTCTTCCTCCTACATGTCATTGTTCAAAGTAAGCCATACATTACCTCCACTGATAGGGGAATTCCACTCCTCCCAGAAGGCTGGATAGTGCTGAATGGTAGCTTTGTTTTCTATAGTAACACCAGGAAAATCAACTGTCACTGAGGTAAAAATATAATGTGTATATCAGGATTTAGTTTGTCAGGGTTGTTGAGTGCAGCGGCAGCCTAGGGGAAAGGAAGTATGCTCCTTCAACTCTATTCTTTGTGTCATTGTATTGGCACTTTATTCACTAGAGTTCACTCTTATGGGAGTACAATATAGAAGAAGGAGCATTAGATATATGGATAATTTTTGTCTCTTTATTATGAAATGAAATGAGTCAGTATAATTCATTTCTTTAGAGGTCTGTTAGGATGTTTTAACTATCTCAGCTAAGGATATTTTGTTTTATACCATACAAAAAACAGTTGAGATGCTTAAAAGAACAAAAAGAACAAAATAATTGGTTGTATTAGAATACACTTCAGTATTAAATATGAATTTATTTTTGTTCACAACATTGTAACATCATAGGATTTTTTCCTGAATATAATTTTATACTACAAGAACTTAATAGAAAAATAACACCAAATTCAGGCTCTGCCTAATTTACTCAGAGTAAGCTTTATTCTGTGTTCTGCAAGAAGCATGTCTCATGTCTTGTACAATAAGCCATGCCACTGAGCATAGTTGCACAGTAAATGATTCTGTATAATAGATGGTATTACGTGCCTAAGTACCCATGAGCAGGTGTTAAAATTGGAAGCATGTAAAGTATTCTTTTATGGATGAAATAAGAAGTCACCATTAACAAACTCTTCAGGAAGAACTGGGATTAGGCTCATAGGTTAATTTCAAATTTTTATTTCAGCTCTTGAATTTCACATTAAAATAGTAGAATAGATAGCTACTTGATTGACGCTTCCTAGTCTTTCGGATTACTGTTTTTCTGTACATCACAAGTATTCAATAGACAACTCCATCTTTAAATTTTAATATACATTATATATATGATTTTGTGTTGTTTTATATTACCAACATATAAATTCTGGCTGATTTTAGGTTGCCATTTAAAAGAAAGTTTGCATCCCACTCATAGGAAATTCAGTGCATTCCAATTTATATCATGCACTATTTCTTATTAACTATTTTGTATATTTATGTATTCTCAGTAAAAGAAATATTCCCATGAAAAATATGCTGTTTACAAATAATGTTGTTTTATAATATCATCAAGAACACAGCACAAGGAGGAAATGTTGGCATTCCTTTGAAAAAGTACTGAACAGTATCAGTGATCACGTTAAATCTCACTGGAGAAATGGCATGAAAAAGAGCTGAAGGAGGAACTGCTTTTTCAAAAAGGGATGTTTCCAGAATGTATATGATAGCACAACATTGTCTACAGACACAGCATGTCAAAGAACAGCTGAAGGCTCTTTAGTGCTGTCTGTACTACAGAAGCAATATCCACATTAGCATGGCTGGAAATGTTCTCCCTAGAGTAAGTTTTATTTGCTACTTAGAGAAGTCTCCGAAACTGAACCACATGAGTCCATTCCAGAGGGAATGAACCTCAGGTTTCTTTCTTCACATTTGCTTTTCTCTTTCACATTTCAGGGTCCTGACAACTGTACAAAGTGCTCTCATTTTAAGGATGGTCCAAACTGCGTGGAAAAATGTCCAGATGGCCTACAGGGGGCAAACAGTTTTATTTTCAAGTATGCCGATCAGGATCGAGAGTGTCACCCATGCCACCCAAACTGCACCCAAGGGTAAGCACCAAGGGTAACAAGGTTGCTAGTCAAGGACTGATCCATGTATGTGTTGCCAGTTAAAGGATTACACATTTGTCTTTATCCCTGGTCGTATCCCTAGAGTTAGACTCATAAAACTTTATTCATTTTATATTCATAAGTGGACATTAAAAGAAATTCTAAATGAATCAAAGTTGTGTGCTCTAAGAGCTCTGCTTAACCTTAACCACTCTGCTAACACTCGCATGAATTTAGTGTACTTTGGATGCAGTATAGAAATTCATTCAACTTTTACTATAGATTGAAGGTATTAGAAACAACAATACTGTACTCATCCTTTAGATATTTGCTTGCAATAAATGTTGATTGGGTTTTCATTTCTTTTCTGTCATAGCTTAAAAATGATAGCCTCTCTTTTATAAATACTTCCTTTAATTAGTCCCTACAACTAAATCTTAGTCAAGCAACCATGATAGCAAAATCAGGGGAACCTAGTAATATATATTCAAAAAATATTAACTAGTTCACTTGTAAAAGTAATTTTGTTGTGTGTTATCCTATAACCTACACTTTCTTTGCCTATATTCAAACAATTCAGAATGATATTTTTCAATTCAGAAGGATTTATTATGTAATATAACCTATGGCAACCTAATGATACTGATGAGAGTTGGATAAAAGAAATCAGGTTTATTCTGAGTGTTATGGCCATGGACGGAAGACACATTTGACAAAGAAAAATACTAAACTCTAAAAGAAATAATGGCGCTTACCTGGCAAAATTCCAACAACTACTTCTTAAAACAAATCTTACCTCGGTAAGGATTTTTCTTTCTTTCCTCTAAAAGGTGAATTAATGCTAGACTACCGCTAAGAGCAGTTTTATACACTCTGTCCTCCTCTTGTCATAAATCCTTGCCTCTATTATAAGCGTACATGAGGATACACACACACACACACACACACACACACACACACACACACACACGACAGAGGCATGGGAACATCCATCCCCAACATACATACCTACCTGCACACTTGTTGAGAATAATCTTGGGAGCTTTATATCTGACAGAAAGTGTGAGGTTCCATAAAGAGATTTCTCTGCCAGGTTAAGGCCTAGCTGTTAGATGATATTGAAGGAGTTAAGCAAACAGCATCATTTTCTGCCAAGTAAACATCAATTTTCAGATGCTGCTACAATTTTCTGCAGGTCAAGAAATCAGCTTAAGTTCCTCTATGAAGTGGCAGATCCTCAGAAGGTAATATTCTGCCATTCAAATTCAAATACAGCTTGGAAGAGCTAACTGCCAACTTCTTGGTTTATACATAAGCAGGCAGGTTGAGGGTGCTGGAACAGTCACCCAGGCACTTTGCTTCAAGGAAACTAGCAGTAATAAACTGTTCCCCTTGTGAGTTTTTGGCACACTTGAGTTGAAGAGTATTTCATGAAAAAAAACAACTGGTACTGCTAGAGTGAAAGAGTCAGCAACAGAAAGAGAAAACTTTGCCTGCTAAAATCATCCACAAGAGGGTTTTATTGTTTTGCAGCTAAAATTAAACCAGTAAATTATTCAATATAATGTCGATGTCAACAGCTGTTGCCATTCAAAATGAGACCTTTTGCTGTTTTTGCAAATCTAATTACAACGAAGCCATTAGGGAAATGAAAGTGAGATCACACAGCCCTAATCTGGATGTGTGGCTGGTGTGTCTTTCTCGCTATCCTTTTAAATCATGATTTTATAATAAAGGCAAGCATATAAGGTAAAGGAAAGTAGAAGTGTGGGCCAATGGAAAGGGTTCAAATTGCCGTAGCAACCAAATTTGGATCTCATCCAAAAAGGCTGAGGTGTAATAAGGAACAAATCTCACCAGTTCACTTGGGAACTCCAAATGAATAGAAAGATGCCCTTAGCATCTCTTGGCTGCAGAATCAGGTTGAGACAGAACTGGAATATTGTAATCCATGGCATCTTCCACGGCAATGTGTTCTCTAACGGTTGACTTTGTCCTGAGGGGGTTTGGTTTCTTTCATGTAGCTTTCTTTTTGTCAGTATCTACAGTTCCTGTTCACTCACTTCATCAAAGTGCTGTGATTCCAGCTCCTGACAAGAATTTAGGAATTCTTCCAGGATAGAAATGCTTAATTTTCCTACCTTATATGCACTATGCTGCTGCATAGCAACTGCGCTTTGAGATCTTGTATTGAAGCAGGGAGGTATTCTGAGCAGTTCATTCTGTCTATTCAAATTTATTAAGAGCATGCAGAAGCAAGATATTTCCATCAAAAGATTAGAGGGGATGCTGGGATGAGTGACTGTTTTCATTCCTAAACACGTGTATGAACTGACCTGTCCGTGTGAGCTCACCATGTCAGCTCCTCTTCAGAAAGCAGCTTTTCTTCACATGTCAATGTGATGTCAGGCTGTTTGAGAACCAAGTTAGTGGAAATAGTCTTTTCAATTGCATTTTTTAGAAGGAAAGTTCTTACTTTGAATACAGTGTAATGATTTTTTTAAAAATAAAATTATCTAATACTTAAAAAATGCTTTTACTGCTCTAAAGCACATTAAGTATATTGGCTCTCTAAGGTCTTCAGGTACTTTTAAGAAAGGTTATCAGCCCCATCAGAAACTTTTCACCAGTGTCCCTATAGATATAAAAAGAAGCATTTTCTTGCTTGAATAGAGGTCATATTTTAGCAGCATGTTCTTTTCCATTCAGTCTTCAACTTTCTTCCACGGAATACCTGCTGTTCTAGATTCCTTTCGGTTACAGTGAAAAATACTATGGGGAAAACCACCGTAAGGGAGGAAAAGGTTTATTTCTGCTTACACTTCTGTGTCACGGTCTCTCATTGATAGAAGTTGAGGCAGGAACTGTAGCAGGAACTTGAATGGAAACCATGGAGGAATGCTGCTTACTGGCTTTCTCACAGGCTCCTCTTTAATTAGCTCTTTACACATCACAGGGACATCTGATGAAGGACGGTGCCACCTATAGTGGGATGAGCCCTCTTGAATCAGTTAATAATCAAGACAATCTCCCATAGACATGTCTATGGGCCAATCTGACATAGGAAATTCTGCCATTGAGCCTTCCGCTCAGATGACACTAGGCTGTGACAAGCTAACTAGGACAATTGCTTTACATCAAGACAGTGGGAAACAAGTTCAGAAATGAAGCATACCTCTTGTGCATTAATGGTTACACATTAATATTCCTCAATTTATGTAATAGATAATATCCTTCCCTACTGGGTTTTGAAATGATGATCAGAAATTTGAACAACAACAAAAAACCATTCATAATAGTGTGCCCCTTTAATCCCAGTAGAGGAAGAGGCAGAGGCAGAGGCAGATCTCTGTGAGTTCTAGACCAACCTTATATAGCAAATATCTCCATAGTCAGACCCTGTGTCAAAACACAACTGTAAAGTTAATTTGAATCAAGGGAATAATATTTATAATTAGCAATACATGTATATTTAAGGAAAACTAACTAAATTCCTTGTAAAATAAGTAGTGAGTGCAGAGATTATACTTTCTTCAGTGACATCACTTGATTCTATGATAATTTAATCTTTTTCATTTCATTTTAAACACAAATTTCATTTTACACATGCATTGTTTATTTCATTTAGCATTGTTGTAAAAAATATGATTAGAAATTTTGTTTAAAAGAAGAAAGCTTGGATTTTTCCTGGTTAGGATTTCCTCAAAAGTTCACATGGAGATCATGCAGGGGATTACAAGGAATATCAGTGATGTGCAGTCAAAAGTGTGGCTCTCCCTGTTGCATAATAAAGCCCTGATTTTCACTGTTTAGAAAAAAAATTATGAGCATTAGAATTATTATTTGGAATATGCTTTAGTCACATTTATAATCCTTTGTTTTATATTTTCAAATATATAAAATGAAAAATAATCTTTGTGAAGGAAGGAAAGAAGAGTTGCTTGTGGAAGTAAGGCTCTAATGCTTATAACAAAAAAAAATCAAGTTTCTTCCATTTTTGCTTCAAAATTTGGAGGAGATTTTCCCAACATTTCTGAACTATATTTGTTAGATGGTACTTGAAGTACCAAGAAATGTTCCACATGGCTTATACTAGGAATTCCAGAGATTTTCTTGGAACTCATTATATATGTTATAGATCTTATGTTTCTATAAATAATGTACTTTGGAATACTATTTTTTAGTGATATTATTCCAGATCCTATTTCAGTCCCTTAACTGTTGTTTTTGCTCTTCAAAAGTTTGATTTCTTTTATTCTGGATTAATGTAATTTTCATGTACTAATCAGTTGCTTGCATAGAGCAAGTATAAAGAACTGAAATATAATAGGTATATTTACACTCTCTTCTTTCTGGTATTATTCTCCTTCAGTGCAAAAAAATGGGTCTGTAAAGATGGCTCAGCATTAAGGTCACTTACTCCTCTTTCAGAGTACCTAGGTTTGGTTCTCAGCACCCACATGGTGGTACACCACTTCCTGTAACTCCAGTTGCAGGGGATCTGACATCCTCTTCTGGCCTCTGTACGTGCTACACATCATATAAGCAAACACTCATACATATTAGATGAAGATAAGCCTTTTTTTAAGTTGAAAAATATGTAATTCACCTTGTCCTTTGATCTCTTCCATTTAACACTGTTATATCATTCATCAGCTTCTCTCTTCCCTCAATTCCCTTAATGGCAGTGCTTAGTCACTGCCTTTACCTGTAGACTCAACCATTTCATTAGTTTAGTGCATTGTCTCATGCATGGACTGACTGTTCTGTATGCCAAAATATTCTAGCTGATTCCCAGCTGAGTGGCATCCACCTGGCAAAGAGATTTAAAATGCAAATAGAACAATGAAAATTGAAAATCTTTTGCTATTATATTTCTCTAATTTTTTTCAATGATGTTTTTCAGAATTTTTTTAGCTATTCATACAAATATACATTGTACATTAAGCATATCTGTCCCTATCCCTCTACCCTCCATTTTCTTCCTCCCCTCCCCCACTTTACTCCCCTAGATTATTTCATATCTTTTGTGTCATATATATATGATTTTGTGCATCTATATAAAATCTAGGGACCACCAATTAGAGCTAAAGGACAATATTTGTCTTTCTGAGATCAGCTTAATTCATTTAATAAGATGATCTTCAATTGCAGAGATTTTCTTGCAAATGACATAACTTTGTTCTCTATGTCTGAAAAAAAATCCAATGCATATGTTTACCATATTTTTTATTCATGTCTTTTCCTCAGAAGAGAAAACCCACAGAATATTATGGCTTCCTTAAAACAATACGGTGGTTTTTCATTCAGTAGTCTAGTAAGAAGACTTCATTGAATTTAGCTCCTGTGTAACATTCCATCGAGCTCTTTACTTTCTCTGTCACCTGATGTTTTGCTCTCCATCTACTCGTGAGTGTTTGCTCATATGCATTAAGCATTACTTTTGATCTATTTTTAAACTCCTGCTATATGGTGCCCCTTAACAATCACTACCAGACTAGTCATAGCTCTCAGCATCCCAGACTACAGACTCTGTATTCTTCCAGGATGGTGAACATCACCTTCCAAAGCTGGTATTTTTGATGTCCTCCTCCATATTATACATATGGCATTGTGCCATATGCATCTGTTTTTGCATCTGTTTCCTTCAAATTGTGAACTCAATGGAAATAAGTAGAAAAGCATCTAAATCAGCTCATTTCTCCCTACAGGTTCTGAAGGGTACAAGCATGTTAGTAGGCATGTCACACAGGTTCCCCAATGAATGAAAGGTTTCATTATTCACACTCTCACACCAAGCTGAATTTCACTATTGAAAGATTTCATCTTCAAGGGTCATTATAAAGATTTCAAACTAACCATAGCTTTTCAGACTCTCACTAGGAAATAAGTAGACTGTTAATTTTACAAAATGGCAATACTATAATAAAAAGTATTTTGAAGGAACTATCAAAGGACTTTAGAAAAAAACAGTTTTTAAGAATAGAATAAGAGAAAGTCATTTTATATTTATGAGTATATTGCCTGCATGTTTGTGAGTGCATCCCTGTCATGCAGTGCCTGCAGAGGTCAGAAAAGTGTGTTAGAATCCCTGGAACTGGAGTTACGGACAGTTGTTAGTGACCATGTGGTGCTGGGAATAGAACCCAGGTTGTCTGTAAGAGCAGCCAGTGCTCTTAACTGTTAAGCCATCACTCCGATCCCTATTTTCTATATTTCAAGATAGTTTTGATTACAGATTACGCAATGCACTGAGTTAGTGGTGTGTTTTCTTATTTCCTATCTGTTTATCTTTACGTACTTTCATCATGATTTTTTTGCAGGTTAAAATTTGCTTTTGCTGCTCAAAACAAATTCTCAAAACAAAAATGCAACAAATATTCTAATTAGTAGAAATGTTACAACATATGTACTTATTAGTCAAATGACATTAGTTTACTAACATTTGGAGTCAAAGATATAATGCATTATCCGGCTTTGTCTATGGATACTTGAAGCTCTTTTTCAGTTTTTAAAATTTAGGGTTTAGACAAACATGCATAATCTTTATTAACCTTCATATTGGTGGTTCTATAAATCATGGCCTTAAGAGCTATTTGTCTTTGGTGAGAAGAATAAAGAGAAATAAAATAATTCAAATACAGTTAAGATACAAGAAATAGTTCCTTACTGTGTCACAATGAAATTAGAACTCTGTGTATTTAAATAAAGTTGTTCAAGTGTTCATCTTGGTGGATTCCTTAGCTACCTCCAGGTAAGCTGATTCATTTGCTCACAAAGTATTTATTTGTTATTGTTTGAGTTCAATAATATAACAGTTTAAAAGTATATTTTTATCTACATGTCATGGCATTTCTGTTTCAAAAGAGGTCATCAAGATAAACTGCAGTATGATCAAATCAGTTAATATGATTTCTGAATAAATTCTCGTTTAGTGTAAATGTGATTTAAAGATAGTTACAACTAAGGATTGGAATAATCTGATTATGTAAAATATCCATGGGAACTTCACTAAAGTACGCTAACTTATTTGCTGCCAACATACATCTTTAATGAGAACTAAACATAAGGCTATTATATTATAATGAATTGTTCATTTCCTTTTTATTGAACTTTGGATTTTATCTAAGGTTATGGTGCTTTAAGAGAAATGATAAACGTGAGACTACTTACAGTTACTGAAATATCAGTTTTTTCTTCTAGCTCTGCATAATGATGAATGATGCAAGTGGGTTGAAAGTTCCAGAAACTTCCTTTATGTGTGTAATATTATCCACAGGAACAGGGTAAAGGTTCCCTTGCTATCTACATCTTTCTTGGAATTATATTTGGGTGATAATTTCATTTCACTTCTGTGTATCCACCAAGAAAAGAACCTTCTTCAAGTTTTAGATTTTTGCTGTTTCAGAAACTGTCTAATAACTAAAAGTAAGAATTTGGCACAGTCAATATTTATCTCACTGACTCTTTTCAAAAACAACTAATATTTCTTTCCTTGTGTCTCTTTTAAATTTGCATCTGCAGGTGCATAGGGTCAAGTATTGAAGACTGCATCGGCCTGATGGATAGGTACTTGGTGTGCTTGCTTCCCATGTTCTTCCTCCAAGGCTCCATGTGTGAGCACTGGTGCATGAGTGTGCATGCCACTGTGGATGGAGAGTGATGTTTTCTGTTCTGTAATTGCCTGCAGGTGTAACGGTCCCACTAGTCATGACTGCATTTACTACCCATGGACGGGCCATTCCACTTTACCACAACATGCTAGGTAACATCTACCATGTTTCCATTTTATCACTCAGATCCTTTCCCAGATGCCACAGACAAAAGAAAACTCACCATTTGGAGTAAAGTTGTAATACATTAGGGAGTCACCAAAGAATCGAGAACACTTTTCTTTTCCAAACCACATTTCTTAACTTTTTTCTTCATTCACTATGATTTCAGAGTTCTAATTAGTAATGTCATTGATTTAAAATTTAGTGACTTTTTAACATTTTGGTAGCTAACCTAGAGCTTTATTAGAATATTTTCATTCTTAAGTATATAAACAATTTCTAAAAGCAGTAATTTAAGGGAGAAGTTTAAGAGTTGATCTATGCTAATGTTTGATATAATTTGATTTCCACTTCTTATTTTGTGTTTTACTGGTAGATTCTCCAGATAGCAAAGTTATTCTGGAATCAAAGTAATGTAGAAAATAATTCATAAGGATAAAAATGTAATTTGGAATGTAAGAGAAAACATTATTCAAATTCACACAGTAACCTGTACACAAAGTTTGCAGTGGCTCTAATCATAGTCGCCGAAAACAGTAACCACCTCAGACATTCCCCAGCTGTGGTAACCCCTGCACCCTGATACTCTTGAGTAATAAAAAGGAAGAAACTTCTGCTAAACACACTATGGATGGATCCCAAATGTGTTATGCTGAAAGAAAGAAGCCAGACGGTAAAGAATTCTAGGCAAATGCTGCTAGGCAAAATTACAGGCACAGGAAATAAGTCAGGGTTGCCTAGTCCCAGAGTGTGAGGAATAAAGTTCATAATAGAGGGGTTGGAAGGAATTTGAGGGAAAATGGAATGTTCTAGACCTTGATCATGGTACAAGTGCTTATCACAAACTATAGAGATACACATTTTACTGAAAATAAATGATATGTTTTGTATTTTACTTTTTATCCATCAAGAAACATAACTTTTAAATTATTTCATGGAACATTTTCTAAATGAGAAAATAGTAACTGCAATTTTATATGAAAATATTTCTGGCTTTATAAAACAAGTTAATTTGATTTTTTTGGAAGACAGGCAGTAATGTTAAGCTATAATTAGCAAATGAGAATTTTAGATGAAGGGTTGAGTTAATGTAAATTTTTATGTTGTCATATGACATGAAATTTTGCAAAACATAAGTATATAACTCAGTGAATGTCCCAAAATGAATCTTTTGTGTAAGCATCAGAAGACAGGTAAAAGGCACAACAGTAAAGGAGGCCAAGGAGCTCCCTTGGAAACTATGCCAAGAGTAACCATTATCCTGAATTCTAACACCATAAGTCAATTTGTCTAATGTTTGCATCTCATTTAAATTCAGTCATAATATAGTATTATTCTATGAATCTGGCTACTTTCACTAAATATTATATGTATGATATTCATCTATGTCATTGAATCCATTCATAGCTTTTCCATTCATATACCTTTATATGTGTTCAAATTTTAAAGTGATCAAATTAGTGACATGTTATTTTCATAAGTTGTTTGTTAATGAACTAGTCATTTTTCTAAGGGAAATTATGTGTTAGAGTAAAATGATTTACACAACAGTGGCACTTTGATACTTGGGCATAATTAGACTAGTAAGTATAGTTCTCTAGAACTAACTTAAAACTATGAGCAAATTGGGGCTGGAGAGATAGCTCAGCAGTTAAGAGCGCTTACTGCTGTTGTAGAGGACATTGGTTCAGTTCTCAGCACCCCCATGGCAGCTCACACCATCTGTAACTATAGTTTTAAGAGATCCAATGCCCTCTTTGGCCTCTTTGGGCACTAGGAACACACATAGTGCAAATATATATGTATGCAGACATACACATAAAAAAAAGATTAAAGAAACAGGAGGAAGGGAAGAGAGAAAATAACACGAAAGGGTCAAACAGAACTTTTAAGTGCTGTTTTGTCTTCCAAAATCCATCTTGGATTCCAGCTACAATCATGAAACAGTCTTTCATCTTTGGGACATTAATTGAATCATCAAACTGTTCTTTTGAAGAGTGTTGTTTTTACATTAATTTTTATTATTTTACTTAAAATTATCCTCTTAGGTTAGTGAGAAAGTATTCAGAATGAAGGTTAAAGCATGCCATCTAGGTATGTGGCTGTTAGAACCTTAAAATTTTCTGAGTCTTTATGTTCTTCATTTTTAAAAGGAATTGTTAATAGTTCCCAACATGGTGATGAAGATTTTATGTCAACAACAGTGCCTGGCTCATAAAAGTCACTCAATAAATGTTACTGTTTTCCCAGATAACAAGACATGCTACCAAGGGGAAGGAGAGAAGTCTCTCAGCATCACTCTGAGAGTGGTGATGTGTACTAATGACTTCCTAATGGCTTCCCAGAAGGAAGTGGAATATTCTTGTCATTTTTGCCTTGAGAATCAGGGTCACAATGAAGGTCACTGGTACTGATGGCAGTCAATCACAGACTGGTATTGAGAATGACAGATCACTTGTAGTGGAGAATGTTTGTGACTGATGTTCTATAACTCAAAATCGTAAGGTGCCTTATAGATTTAATATTTTCCAAATTTAAATGAAAGCAGTGCTACATTTATAATCCTACAGCCTGCCTGTGGTTCCTAGGAGGTGTTCTATACTGTCTAAGAGACCTAACTGTAAGCAACCTTGTCAACAGTAGATATCTATAACCAGAAATAGTGAAAGGACAGTGTAGCCAGTCACTCCTAAGAAAAGTCACCTGCAGCCACTGTCGAGGTAAAGAGGAGTTTCTTGAATGTGAAAGCTGGGGATCAAATATTGCTTTCTTGAATGTGTAAGCATGGGTTCAAATATTGGCTCATATTTCTTATTGCTGAAACTGAGTAATAACAATACATTTTTAAGATGATGCTTTTATGCCTTATAAAATTGGTGTGAGGATAAAGTGAGACAACACACAGGAGCCATCCTGGAATAGACACTGGTGGCAGGCAGTTACAGCTCTGATTGACATGTCATCTCTTTGAAAAAATCTTGTTTTATTGTGTCCTATTTGTATTTTACATATAAACAGCACATTAATCCAATAGCTTAGTCGTGCCAGGGTGAACATATTGAAATTTCTCAGATTTTAAGCACTTAAATTTCATATCAAACCACTACTCAGTGGAATGATTTAAAGAGTAGGTAGCTGGCAGGAATTGTTTCTTATAGAAAACTCCAGATGTCTTTAATTAATACTTGTTTTCTTCTTAAGTTTAAAACATTGTGACTCTATTTTTTTTCAGTTGTATTGACTTACCAGAATTAAGTGATCTGTCATGGGCTATTTAAACAATAGCTTAGAATTTACATGATGAAATTAGATTTTACTCTTTGATTAAAACATGACTGTGAAGCATTTTTGACTCAGATTGGATGACAAGTGAGAGTAACAAAGGTCTTCCTGTTTAGGTCTCACATTTCAGCATTGGGCTGTGTGACAGGGCTCTGATTATTAAGATTTTAAGTCTTTTTCCTTAAGTTCCATGGTAGTTTTTATAAGCTTCTGTCTTGATTGAGTAAAGCAAATATTATATAATGAGAAGACCAGAAATAGTACAATGGGAAATAATTGTTTTAAGTTTCATAATCAACCTTTTAACTAGGAGATTATCCAACTACTTACTTTTCTCTTAGTCACAGAAAATCACATTGAACACTCCAGTGTGGCTGTTTCAGAATATTTAGAATTTGTACTCCCCACTGTCTCATTATAGTGTCTTCTCTTTCCTAAACCAGCAGGAAAAAAGATTGAGGATTTAAATGAAAGAAGGTGGAATGTTTCCAATCTTGATGGTCTTTCATTTTCTAAGCAGTGTTATTTTTTTCCCAGGTCTGCAATTTGTGAATTGGTTTTCCACATTCCACTTACCTCACAGGCCACTACTGGAATTCCTTCCTAGAGAATTAGATGGGGCAAGAGAGAAAAGAATTTAAGATTTTTTTTTGTATCCCAGAATATCTGAATTATAAGGAAAATAATGCAGGATACTTAAAATTCTTTCCCTGGTTTACAATCTGAATTAAATACCTTAAGATAGAATTTTCTTTTCTCAAACCTCTCCACCTCCATAATTTTTATTTTTTTCTAAGAATGTTATGAAGAAATCTCATCAAGACTTTTACTTGTTCTTTTATACAGCATTTACCTTACCATGCCCATAAACTACTTTCATGTAGATCTGGGAAGAAAAAATGATAGATTTCATTCCATTTTGCAGTCTTTATCAAATACAGGTCAAAAATGTCAAATCCTACTCTCTTATTCAATGATAGCCTGAATTTGTTAGTTTCAATTAGTATTGACTCTATTGGTGAGACAAAACTGTTAGGGTTCTAGTAAGCTTTTCTGCTTCTGTGATAAAATACTGACAAAATACAAATTGGGAAGGAAAGTATTTATTTGGCTTTTTTTCCCCAAATCATTGAGGGAAGTCAACATAGGAGCTCAAGAAATGGCCTGGAGGCAGGAATTGAGGCAGAGACCACAGAGGAATGCTGCTTGCTGGTTTGCTTCCCCCTCTCTTGTTCAGCCAGATATCTTATAGAGTCCCACCTGTCCAGGGATGGCAGTACTCACAAAGGGTTGGGCCATTCTACCTCAATTAGCAATCAAGAAAATGCCTCACAGACATGTGGCCAAATCAATCTGATGGGGGAAGTTCCTCAGCTAAGGTTTCCTTTCCCAAGTGTTCCTAGTTTGTGTCATGTTGACAAAAATGAACCAGCAAAACAAAACAAAAAGTAATCTGATTAAATATTCCTTTTAGCTTTATGAGAGAAATATAAAAATAGATATGGTAAATTTATACTAGATATCTATTCACGCATTTTTTGTCTGGCTCCTTGCTCTAAATCAGTTAGTCTATGTGCTTTACAATATGAAGTAAAGTCACTGAACTTAGTTACTCTAAATATCCAATGGACAGCTCTTTGAAAAAGTTCACATTTTCATTCCCATGACATACTTTTACTTTATGGTACAGTGGTTTTTGCCTATGAGA